TACATCACCAAAACAGTCTCACCCGATAAATAAGTGGCGTAGGCCGCAAACAAGAACAGGCACATGGGCGATAAGGGTGAAGAGGGGAGCGGGGGGTTGCCCTGGACAGTCTCGAGACGGTATTCGGCGTACATGTGGCTCCACCCCGCCAAAACGTCATACATTTGATAGGTTCAGTAGAGGGCTACAGAGAGAGTTGAAGTCACGGTGTTGCTATCGACGGCACAGAGAAAGGTCGCCTCGCGTTGCCGGCCTACAAAATGGACACCCCAACGACCAGGCTTTGGAGAGGATGTTGACAGACATTGCGTGCAAGACTAACATTGTATTCAACGCTAACGACCAGGTCCGACACTCGGCTAGCTGCGCCTGCATAACGTAGGTAAACAAGAACGCCCCAACATAAACACGGCCCAGCGAAAAAAAATAACAAAAGACAGAAAGTTAAACGGAAAAACGCGCAGACAGATAAGGTCAGATAGCACGCATAGCGCGTACTTTGTCGTGTGCAATTTCAAGCATCAGGCTTAGCCTGCAACGTCCGCTAGTAGCTGTGCAGCGTTAGCACGCAAGAGGTGATATGGACTGGCAACGCCGGGAACGAGATGACAAGGGCGGCACACGATTCGAACTATCTGTGTGTCCCGGCCGTTGGTTTGTTACTAGGGACCACGTGTTGTACGCTGCGACGTTTTCTCTTTGGTATTCCCCCTCCCCCTTGCGTCGAAACAAGACGCGCTCGGATGACAATGGGTGTATCATACGGCATCGCAGCGGCATTACCGTGTGCCTCCATCACTTGCCATTCAAAGTTGGTGACCGTAGCAAGCCTGTCTCACCTTTTTGTCGTTCCCTCGTTGACCTCCGCTCCATTTCCCGTCCGGATCCTCATCGTCGGTAAAGCGCCCGCCCTTCCTGCTGCTCCCCTTCGCTGTTTCCTTTTCACGCCCGACCTTTTCTGCCCATCTAACTTCCTGCCCATACTGCCCTCCCCGGGCTCCGACCCCTCATCCATTCCCGACCTGCCTTTCTTGTTGACCCTTCCCCGCCCTCCCGACTTCCTGGGAGCACCCGCACTGCTCTTGTCTACCTCCCTCGCATGCTTCACGTCAATCTCCACATTGCGAACGGAACTGTGGACACCCTACACTCCGTGTCCATGAGGACGTCATACGATACGATCTTGTCTTCTTCGTCTGCATCGACCCTCATGACTGTCCCCCATGCCGGGCTAGGTGCCCATGCTCCTGTGTGAAGGCGAGTACCCACGCCAATCTCGAAGAATCCCTGCGAGGATGGCGCATGCATGCAGCAACAGGCGGTGTTTCGCATCGGGGGACGGACTTCGTACGAGCACGCACGAACGCTGATCGTTCCTTCAGTGCGGATCCTCAGGGCTGGCGTCGCTGCCTCGAAGAGGGGGGAGCGACGAAGAGAAGAAGTCTTGGGCTTGCAATACAACACAAAAATTCGAAATTCTGATCGACACCGTGTAAAATCGCCGTTTAAAATAGCCAAAGAGAGGAGGACCGTCTACACACACAACACAAACAGGTNGTGCTACTGTGTGAAGGCGAGTACCCACGCCAATCTCGAAGAATCCCTGCGAGGATGGCGCATGCATGCAGCAACAGGCGGTGTTTCGCATCGGGGGACGGACTTCGTACGAGCACGCACGAACGCTGATCGTTCCTTCAGTGCGTATCCTCAGGGCTGGCGTCGCTGACTCGAAGGGGGGGGAGCGACGAAGAGAAGAAGTCTTGGGCTTGCAATACAACACGAAAATTCGAAATTATAGTCGTCACCGTGTAAAATCACCGTTGTACAATAGCCAAAGAGAGGAGGATCGTCTACACACACNCCCGGTGTCCTCCTTATAGGAATGTACATAAGCGTCTACGCACCACGTTCATCTTTTATTTGTCGTTTGCTCCCAATATTGACTTCTGTCGTCAGTCCCACTGGCCCCCATCCTCCACTACGACAACCTAGACGACCCAACCGGGGTCACACAGGATTGGGGGGGGGGGGGGGCCCC